TATATATATATATATATCTTGTCATTGAATGTAGAACGAGTGAAAAATCTCACATTTCTTCGTACTTCAGAGCTGTCGACATTCAGATTCTCAACATCTGGCTTCTAAATAGTATGTTTCTATCGCGCTTGGCGCCCTCTAGAAATTCAGCGCACGCAAAGTCCGATATTCATTTGGCGCTCACTGTGACCCCCATGAGTGCTTCATTGCAGTATTCAATATCAATCAGATGTATCCTCTTCTCCGTTTGCAGGACCCGGCAATAAAAATATTTCTGACGAAACGTTTCCGGCGCACGATTGCAATACTTACATACGTAAGAGCAAGAAAGAAAAAACACATCTAAAAAAGTTCAAAAATATGAAAACTTTACTAAAATCCTAATTTTTTAATGCTTAACGAAAAAGTCATTTTAAAAGGCAGCTCCTTTTTAAATCCTTTGATTGGATCCTCCTAATTTTCAGCCCCTGTCCTTCCAGGGCTTCCACTCCTCCCGTTTATTAGATGGTGGCCACCTAGCTCTTTGCAGCACATTGCCTACCTGTTGTGATTTAGTGTGATCCACGTTGCTTGTGTAGTAAATTTTATAAAGTCATTTTTGTCTTATATACCTTTTAATCTTCTATTCTTTATTGTTATTTCTTATATTTCTTTCACATTGATACAGATCTACTAATAACGGGGAAAGATTCCCGATTTTTTTAATTTTTTCAGTTCAAAAACAGCACAACCTGTATGGGACGTATGGGGAGACTTAGGAATGATGACTTAGGGGATTTGGATAAATATTATTGCTGTTGTTTGATTATTTCTTAACTCATACTATGGAGTACCACAAGATATCTGCTACAACCACCGCTTTTATATTTTATAAAAATATTAGGTCATTAATTCGAAACAAATAACATGTATTTTCCTTGTTCCACAGGGCGACTCCGGGGGCCCGTTGTTAATAAACGACACACAAATAGGTATCGTGTCGTTTGGACTGGGCTGCGGAAGAGAACCCGGGATATACACGAATGTACCAGAATTGCGATCCTGGATCTCAGATATCGCTGGTGTTTGATATCAGTTGCATGGACTTGGAAGAACAGCGTTCAGCTAAACGACTCTGAGTGAATTAAAAGTAGTGTTGTAAGAATTTATGATACGCACATTGATTCCAACTTTATATTACGCCATTTATTTGTTTTACTTTCACTGCGAAACCAATTTTATCAGGTTTAGTGTTGTATGGCCAGATTTGTAAATTTCTCTACAGTTCATTCAATACAAAATAAAGATATTAAAGAGTTCTTGTTTCAATGGGATCAGGAAAAATAATTTCTTATTCACGAACAACTTGTTTTAATCATGCGACTGCATGTCACCTATCTAGCGTTAAAAAATGTAATACTGAACTGTGATCAATAAAGCAACTAGTGGTGCATAAAAATGGTACGGACTTTACTGTATAACTTTTTTCTATTCTCTTGAATCGGAGCAAACGTTTTGGTTCTATCACATCCTCTTCCCAGTATCTACCAATCAACCTTTTAAAAGACCTACGAGGTCCTTTCGCAGTGAATATCACCTAACGCTCCTCTAGAGATTTCCTCAGTGAATATCAACTTCTGTGTACCGAACATCGCATGGGCCTCTATCTTTGTTTTTGTACCTTTACACAATTGCTCTTGGTATCCTTTGGCCCCTTCTCAGCGTTAACCACTGTTTTAGGTGTACAGGATAATTCCTTCCAGGTCATGAGATTATGAAGGTTTAAGATATAGTTGTAAAAGAAACTCTGAATGCCTCCTACGACACGACGAAAATTTCCCACACGCAGGTTATCACAACCTTACTCTCAACGTAGTTGGGCTTCCATGTTAAGCCCCTATCTTAAGAAGCCGAATCACTTGACCGTACATTTTGTAAAGGTATCGAGGAATCAAGGTTAAGTAATGTAACAATAGCAATAATAATCATAAGAATAATTTGATAATATTATAACTAAAACTGATCTGTTTATGCATTTGAGAGCACAAATGTGCTTTGGAGCATTGAACTCATAGGTAGGTCAGTGAGTTTAACACTTTTCGATTGCAAAGCAACTAAGCTCACATGATTTAGCATTAAAATCTATCGACATCGCCAAAAAACCAATGAAATAAATTCTACAAATAAACTTAAGAAATTAAATAAAATGTTACAACTTATCATTTGCATCAACACATTAATTTCGAAAATAATAAGAGTGTAAATTTATATTCAGGAAGTAGATTCTTTAATACTTTTTATTTTTCCGTTAACGTGCGAACATACGAATTAATATACGTAGTACAAGGGAAAGTTTTGTAATGCTGCGCGAAAGAACGGAAATTTAGTAGAAAAAAAGTTCGGTCCTGTGCCATGATTACAAAAAACGCATAAGTCAAATTGTTAAATTAAGAAAAAACTCTAAACGTGGTATATTCAGAATCCCAGTTTTGGGGGTATCTTGATACCGACAAACCAATTAACAGCAACACAACGTCATTCTGTCCACCCGTCCGTCAATCCGCCCGTCCCTCCATCTGTCCTCTTGTGAACACTACTAGCGCATGTGCAGTATTTTTGAAGTTGAAAACCCTGTGCATCTGGTCAAGTCAAAGCCCTGAAATTTTGAAAAACATCCTTTAAAATTAAAGGGGTACTTTACAAGAAGCCTTCGGGAAAGTGTCAAAATTTTCTCTAAAAACAACTTCAATTTTTTTCTTTGAAGCTCTAAAAATAGTTTAACGTACAGGCATAAAAGTGACATAGGACCAATTTTTACAACTAACTCTCAATTTTCGAAAATTTCACAAGTGAGAATTTTTTCGGCTTCTTACAACTTTAAAATTGAAGATAAAGGTCTTTCCTTCAAATTGAATTTGTTTTCCTAATTAGTTCTTTCATTAAGGTGATGTAAATTTTTGGAAACGTTTAGTAGTTTTCGGCCAATATTGCTTGTAATATTGGCAATTTTAAAAAATTACAAAAACCAGATTTTCTCAAAAATGGTTCCAATTTTTTCTTAAAATATTGGTAGGGATAGTTCTAAAAATTCCCTCTGAGATAACAAACACCATATTACCCTAATCTTTAGTTTTTCCAAAAATTACATAAAATTAATTTTGGACCTGTTTATTTCGTAGTTAATATTTACATTTGTTGCGCGTGCGACATGTTCACATTATTATATTTATGGGTAGATGTTGATTAAACAATGTCACATTAAGTTTCTCGAAACCTCAAAACTAGCTCAAATTTTAGGATTTTCAGAAACGCTTAAATGTCACTTTCTCAAAAGCGGCTCCAAATTGTGTCATTATACTTTTCGAAAGGATAGCTCTAATTTTACTGTTTAATATGACGAAGAGTTCATTTCAAAGAATTTTGTTTTACTTTCTTTTTCTATAATTATACACATGTAATTTGTTTGGAATATCTCTCTTGCTGCTAATATAGACATTTCCATCTATTTGTAAACACTCTTTTATTTGTGAGTTAATGTGCGTTAAATAACTTCAAATAATTTTTTTTTTTTTTGGAAAATCAAACACTTTCTGTGAAAATAGTTTCAAATTTGAATTTACAGAAGAGTTAATAAGCTATTTTTTAAACTGCCCCAAATTGTTCAAAGAAAATCGCCAATTACGAGGTTTTACTGTTCTTTATTATTCTTAAAATAATATTTCCATTCTACTCTTAGAAAACCAAAGAACTGAGAAAAATTAAAAAAAAATGTACTTTGGGCAGCAAATATGGCTGCTGGCAACAGTATGTGGCACGGTTGATAAGTTTGCGGAGACTAATCAGCGGAAAGGAATAGAAAACGAATACAGGAAAGTCTGTGCTATTTCTAGCCTTACTACATTCACTTTTTTCTCAATTTTTGGACCTCTAATAGTAGAATTGAAATATTATTTAGAATAATCATAATTTATAAATTAAGAATATCATTATTGAACTTCAGATATTCACATTTTGAGGAAGACAAAATAGAATATAAAAATAAAAGCGCTATTGCGAAGAGAAAAATTAGAAAGATAAAGCGAGAAAGTTGAGATTGAACATGACTGTCATGGATCACAGGACACTGCCTACAAAATAATGAAGTATCTAAACTCGACAGAAAGAGATACATTAAAAATTAACATCTCCGAGAAAGAATGGTTTACATACTATCAGTCTCTATGGACAAACACAGAGACTCCCGAAAACCCCCTATCGGAAAAAATAATAGAAGTGGATCGCATTGATCTGGACGAAATGAACAATATACTTAAAACGTTCAAGAATAAGAAATCGCCAGGAACTGATTGCATGAATGCCGAACTACTAAAGTACGCACCGAGCGAAATAAGGAGATTCCTTAAAATAATAAATATGTGTTGGAGGAGATATACCATTCCCGAAGATTGGATGAAAGGAATTATATGCCCGATCTTCAAAAAATGTAATAGGCAGGATTACCATAATTACAGGGGAATAAGTCTTCTCAACACATCCTATAAGATATATGCTAAGATAATAACTCGGCGATTAAATAATATTAATGGGCATATGTTACTGCAAGAACAGTGCGCTTTCAGGAAAGGCCGCTCATGTTCCGACTGCATATTCGTAGTGGGACAACTAATACAGAAAAGACGAGAATTTAACTTACCGACATATATACTATTTATAGATTATATGAAAAAGCTTTCAACAAAGTATCCCGACAGAAAATTTGGGAAATAATGCATAAAAAAGGATTCCCAGCCCACCTAACAGGAGTAATACAAAGCCTCTACTTCGACACTAAAATATGCATTGATAAAGGATCTCAAAGAAGTAATAAATTTATGGGAATAAATCAAGGAGTCAAACAAGGGTGTCCACTTTCACCAGCACTATTTAGTATATATATAGACGAGATTGTCCGGCAATGGCAAGGGCAGTTGAAAACAAAACACCATATTGTTTGCAGACGACCAAGTAATTTTTAGTAGCTCAGAAGACGAACTACAAATTGCAGCACACAAACTAAACGAACAGGCATCCGAATATAATATGAAAATCTCCACTAGGAAAACAAAATCAATGGGCTTTGAAGGAACAAACTACTTTAGATGTAAAATTATAATTAATAATGAACCGATAGAACAGAGAAATAATTTCACCTACTTAGGGTTCAGTGTGTCTTACTGTCAGAAAAATAACATAAGCCGAAAATTAAATAGATTCTATAATACGTGTGGGACAATAAGAAGAACATTAAAAAATAATACTTTAAAAACCACGCAACTCAAGTTTTACAAAGTAATGGCAGTACCTACGCTAATTTATGCATGCGCAAAACTGGACCTGAAATAGAGCTGACAAGGAAAATAGAAAGCGGTGAAATGAAATTCCTACGTTCAGTAGCAGGTTACAATATTTTAGATAGACAATATAATGATGACATCAGAACCGAACTGAATATATTTAATCTGATGGACAGAATCCAATCATTAAGGAGAAACTGGCACGACCATATTCAACGCATTTCTCCGAACAGAATCCCCATAATAATATATCAGTAAAATCCTAAAGGAAGAAGAAATGTTGGCCGCCCACTAACAAGATGGAAAGACTCACTCCCTTCATGTATTAGTTTTCTATTACTTAAGTAATTAATTTTATCATACACTCTTATTCGTATAAATATCCCGCCCGTTTAATATTAAATTGAATCAGTTTGACACTTTTTTAATTGAATTTAATCCACTATGAAAGTCATATGTACATCTCATACATAGTAACATACAACATCATACATAGACATACAGTAAGATGTAGAAGGAATGCCCCTGATTATTGCTCTGTGAAAGTATATTAATGGGAATCGTCTAATGCTGATTTGAACGTGTTTGTGGGGTGATGCTCTAGCTAGACGCGGCAGGTAACATCAACTGGACATTTCTATTCTATTTAGTTTCTCAGATTTTTTTCGGTGTCCCAGTCTGTAACTTACCACAATAATGTAGAACTTTTTAGAGATTACAATTTCAAACTTTTAACTGCCAATTTTTGGTAAACGTTTAAGAAAAATAAAAATAAAATAGTTCAAAAATTGTATTTTTTAATTTAATGAATTTAATACATACATGAATTTAAAGTGCATCTTTTAATCTTTAAAGTAGCAAAATATTAAATTTCTTTTACAATTAAAATACGAATTAAAAAGAATTAACATTAAGAATGCCAGCATTTTATAGACTATTTTGAAAATTAATTGAATCTCCAAACACAATATTTAGGAAAAAACTAAAAACATGTGGACTAGGACATCTAGGTCAAAATTTTAATTAACTATTAATTTTTTTTAAAAAAAATGTCTATCTAAAAATGTTAATCAACACAAAAATATATTAGAAAACTATTTAAAACATAGATTGCTGTGAAACGTTTCTATCGGCAGTATATCTATATCAATTGCGTATACAGATATACTCTCAATTTTCTTTCACAATCAGTGTTGTGAATAATTCATTAATCGTGTCGTTTTCGCAAACTAGTCACAGTGACTATTTTTGTTTATGTTTGTTATTTTGTTGTGTATATTTTCTAAAACACGCAAACTCTTGTTTAGAAATTTCCAATATTACAAAAATACAGTATGGACAAAAACGGTCAACGGAAAAATACTCGTTTAATTAAATAATTAAATGAGATGTAAGCATAATTTATTGTCACTTTTTTTGAATTAATAAAATGTTTAATTTATCATTGTTGTCCTTTTTATTTCTCGCACTTACTAATGTAATAAGAGAAAGTATTGTAATCCTGCGCCAGAAAACTGCGAATTTGTGACACAAAATCTCTTAATGACTGGCCCTGGTAACGATAAAGTGGATAAATTTAGTTGCTAAATATAGAAAACAAATGCTTCTAAATCGTGACGTGGCGAGAATCCATATTTGTGCGTCCTTCACACCGAGAAATCGATTGACAGCAAAACGCAAAGCGCTCGTATAAGTCGGAACGCTAGCGTCGGTATGGACCCTGTTTATATTTCAAGTGCTTCTTGTAATAAGTGTAATACGTGAAATATAGTATTAATCCAGTGCATCGAATAGTTTTCACCAATGACATTCGATGTGAATCAATCAACAGGCAACGTAGTCAGCAATGCTCTTTACGTGCTACACAACTCCAGCGGTATTCCGCAAAGCAACTTCATCAATTTACCTATTACACACAATGAGTGTGCTACGAACGAGGATTCAGCCTTGGAATCGTCTACATCAGAAACTGCATGTTATCAAGACCCATCGCAAGGTACAACGCTCGTAACCTTAGCCAGCCGGCATGAGGTAGAAGCCAGAGCCAACCAAAGAAAAAGG